GAACTCTGGTATGTCACCCATAATGTTGTGTGCATTTCAATATTTTGAGCAAAACTGTGCTCTTACCCTGCTAATTGAACCTTCACACTCTGCTCTTACTGGTGCAATCAATGAAGACTGGCTACCATGCTGGTCCAATTTAGCCATGAAACCTCCCACACTAAAATGACAGATGTTTCAGTTTCATTGTCCAATCCCTGTATATCTATGTTATGTTGACCTTGATTGGTGGCAGGAGGCTGAGTGTTCTCGTGTTTGGCTCTATAATACCTCGGCATTGATGACGTATTATTATTATTCATCAGCAGCTGCGGGCAAAGCCAACACCGAACCTGTAAAACCAAGATAACAACCCGTTACTGCACCTCTTGCATAACATGATACCATGACTATAACACTACTGCATAGTATAGGCTATAGGCTTTCTAATAAACACTTTGAATGTACATTACCTTATTAGGTGTACTTTACCTTATTAGCTGCACCAAATCGAAATATTCCCACACGTATGGTTGCTCCATGACAGAATAATCCAACAAAACTCCAAATATCCAAAAACGAGAGCTGTTTGTAACGTATAATATGTGTAGAACGGGGATGTGAACCGGGGCTTGAGCCATCTTAAATACACTGAATTGCGCCAAATGTTTGGAACTCCGCCAGTGAACTCAAAGCAGTCAGCTGAATCGGTTTGAATGAAGCAGTGAAGTGGTTCACACGTCATTGGGGATGTCACTTGAAGCAAGCTCCAGCCCACCACTTCACCATAACTACCCTGTCGAGTTTGAAACGTGCTTTGAAGCCTCGGTGTTAGAGGTAACATCAATACTCCTGAGTACTTACCTTCTCGTGTCCTCTTTCCCAGGTTATCTCCAAGAGAACTTCACGGATTATCTTCTCAGTTGGCTGCGTTCTGGTTACAAGGCTCCTCAGGCTTACCTGCAAACTAACCTAGCTCACCCTCCATCGTGCTCAACCTCCAAGAAAGATCCACCTGGTGCCACCTTCATCTCAAGAGCAAGCAAGACAGGTTTACATGGACCAATTCACACACCTCACTCAACCCCAGAGTTTTCATCCAACTTTCCCCCTTCCTGGCGGATCTTCAAGTCTTCAACTGTAAGCAGAATTATACCAGGATCAATAACTCTCAGCAATATCAGTCACTAACTATTTATCCCTTCTCCATACAGTGGCGAGTTCCAGTTCCCAGTATTCTAACACTTCTTAATAAACCTATTAAACCTTTCCTGTTTCGTGAGGGGCTGCACGGTGGCGCAGTTGGTAGCACTGTTGCCTTGCAGCAACAGTGGGTTGCTGGGTTCGATTCCCGGCCGGGGCTCTTTCTGCATGGAGTTTGCATGTTCTCCCCGTGCATGCGTGGGTTCTCACCGGGTACTCCGACTTCCTCCCACAGTCCAAAGACATGCCTGTTAGGTTAATTGGTCACTCTAAATTGCCCTTAGGTGTATGAATGAGTGTGTGCATGGTTGTATGTGTGTTGCCCTGCGATGGACTGGCGATCTGTCCAGGGTGTACCCTGCCTCTCGCCCATAGACTGCTGGAGATAGGCACCAGCTTCCCCGCGACCCACTATGGAATAAGTGGTAGAAAATGACTGACTGTTTCCTGAGTGTATTTCTGCATGTGGGTCAAAGCATCTAGAAAAACAATGACACTTGCAGGTCAGAGACTTGATTTGGACAAGTTAACATGTCTAGTGATTGGTTGATCAGCCATCTTGACATCATCTCATCTATTGAGCTTGATTCTGACTCAAAGTTGATAAAGAAAGAATCAGCAAACCTACCATGGATCCTTGCCAAACTCGGTTAAGGACAAAATCCCCCTGCCAAATTTGGATGCAAAACAGTTTTGTTTTTTTTTTGTGTGTTTTTTTTTTCTTTTTTGCATTGTGGATTTAGCTATGCCTGTTTAATTTTCTGTAAATGTCTTGCATAACTTTGGTTTCTTCCACAGTTTGAACACATGCCCTTTATCACATATAGGGCTTCTCAACCAAAGATGGTTCAGTTCTTAACCAGGTCTGGAGCTAGAGCCAGTTCTTCTTTAAAAGAACCGGTTTTGTTAATATAAATATCCCACAAAGATTTCCTCCACCAGAATCTAAAGCCATACAGTTGTAGAATGACGTTTTACCTGAAACATCACCTGTTTCTGTAGAGACTTTCCCTGTCTGCCAACCAGAGAGTTCAAAGTGTGGGAACCACATGAAGACAAGTCAGACGACAAGCCAACCCCATGGGTGTAACAACCCAAATTCAGACAAAATTAAAGGGCTCAATTATTTTATGGTGTGAAGAATTTTAACTTTCTCCATCTCTTACTCAGATTATTGTAAGGATTACTATCAAAATTCAACAAATTCTTGATAAATCTTAGATCTTTATCAGTTTAGATATTAATTTGAACATTCAACTCCCTAATCCTATGCCTCTGTGGAGTAGATTGTGGAGATGAATTAATGCCATTTATTTTGTGTTGCTCTCAGTTTAATTATTAGCAAGTAGATCTTATTTTATTTAATAAGAAATTTAGTTAATGATAACATTAAATATCAGCTCACTTGATTTTTGTATAGTCATTAATTGAGGTGTCTTTTTTTTCTAAAGAAAAGAAAAAGTCTTATTCCTGAGAAATGCATGGAGTTTTCATTCCGTCTGGCTGTGTGCAGGCTGGTGTGTGCATGCAGCGTTGTGTTCTCTCTCCCTCTGTCACTACAGGGTGTGACTGGCAGGTGCAGCTCCACAGGTGTCTTCCATGAGGACTAATTAGGAAGGGTTTTAAGGAGCTTGCACCTAGAGGGAGGCATCAGACTCTTAGTTCACTCAGAGCGGTAATCTGGCCTCTGTTTTCTAACCATTGACTGATCTTCTGTTCCCAAATCTTACCTGAATCTTTGTTCCTCCTTTTACAGGATTGTCTTCCGAAGTTGGCTTCTCCAACACCCCGGTGTACCGTGTCTACTCTGTTGGATCTCACTGAAAACATCTCGGAGAAAGACGCCGGATTGTCAGTCCCCATTTCTCTCCTGGAACCAGCCTCATGCTGGAAACACCTTCCGAAAAGGATCCAGGTGACAGAGAGAGATGCAGCTTTTTCCACAGAATCCCACTGCCTGCCAAAATAAGCCTCAGCAGACAGATTCAACCTCCCCAGAACTTTCAACTCCAACTCCAACAGTAAGCTTCATCTCTACCCACACATTACCTACCATCCATCCGCTGTCAAAATTGTAACCTCTCACCTCTCTTCTGTATTGCCCAGTCCGATTGTCCTCAGATCCCCCAATGACCAGCCAAACCATTTACACTGCTTTTCAATAAAGAGTGGTAAACCTGTCATCCTGCATCTGTATCTGTGCTCACTGTCAGAGTCTAACCGCTGAACAACATGACAGAACAGTCTGACCTAACTAAGTCTGGGGCGCATTTACAGAGTGCAATCTCTAATCAAGGTATCTTGCTCCTGCCATCCATGAATCAGCAACAGTCAGAAGTGATCCCCACACTGAATTACCTTGTTTGTCAGTTCCAAGATGTCAGCTCCAGACTGCCTGGACCTCCAGCTAACTATGCCATCTGTTTCCTCCTCAGCTCAGCCCACTGTCGGTGCTGTGTTCACTGCCCCGTCGACCCCTACGCTGGCATTATTTTCTGAGGAAATCGGAAAGTGGGTTTTTTGCATTCAGTGTACCCCGGTATTCCAATGCTCTCATTCATCTTTCCATGAATACTCAAGTATATAATCTGACTTCTCCATGACAAGACCTTAAGGTGGGGAGAAGCCATAATTGATTAAACATCTATTCATCTCTCTTCTTACGATGATTTTCTAGAAATCTTCAAACAAACATTCTCACCCAGTGTCAGTGTCAAGGAGGCAGCAAAGACATTATGGGCACTCAAACCAACAGGTGAGTGGCTGAGATGGCAATAGATTTTCACACCTTAGCAGCCGAGTCTGGCTGGAACACTCCAGCTCTTATAAGGAGTGTTTCTTAATTCTTTAAATGACAAGTTGAAGGATGAACAAGCCTGCCATGACAAAACCAAAACCTTTTGAATATCATGAACTCCAGAAGGTGTTTAGTAAAGACCTTACACTTTCTCTTCCCCCACACCGTCCTTATGACTGCGCCATCAATTTACTTTCAGGAGGTCCACTACATTCCGGCAAACTTTACAACATTTCTTACTCAGAACATGAAGTTATGGAACAATACATTAACAAATCAGTCAAAGCAGGAATCATCTGTCTATCTTCATCTCTGTTTTTATGTTTTTCGAGCCACAGTTCTGTGGTGTCGGGCCACAATCCTGTGGTCTCATTCAGTAGAGAGGAACTTCTCAACATCAGAGAGTCCTCTCTTGGGATTTTTTCACCATCTTTCATCGA